AGGTTAGGAGGACAGATGAGGCCTATACGGTGCTACAGAATGGGCACGTCCTTTGCTACAGGGGCTTGGCAGACAGAAGAGAACTGGGAGTGGGGTTCCTAATTCACAGAAACATAGCTGGTAACATAGAGGAATACTATAGCATTAATGAAAGGGTGGTAGGTATCGTAATTAAACTGAATAAAAGATACAAGATGAAGGTAGTACAGGCTTACGCGCCTACATCCAGCTATGATGACGCTTCAGTTGAAAGCTTCTATGAAGACGTGGAATCGGCAATGAGTAAGGTAAAAACACAGTATACTATAGTGATGGGTGACTTTAATGCAAAGGTAGGGAAGAAGTAGGCTGAAGACCAGGCAGTAGGAGATTATGGCATCGGTACTAGAAACGCCAGAGGAGAGCTACTAGTAGAATTCGCAGAACGCAATAATTTACGGATTTTGAGTACCTTCTACCGAAAACGAGAAAACCGCAAGTGGACATGGAGGAGCCCTAATGGCGAAAATAAGAACGAAATAGACTTTATAATGAGTGCACACCCAGGAATCGTGCAGGATGTAAAAGTGATTGGCAAGGTACGATGCAGTGACCATAGAATAGGTACGGTCTCGAATTCGCCTAGACTTGAAGAAGGAACGACAGAAACTGATACGCAAGAAGCCAATCAATCAGCTAGCACTGAGAGGGAACGTACAGGAATTCAGAGTGTCGCTGCAGAACAGGTACTCGGCTCTTAGTGAGGAAACCAACCTTAGCGTAGATACAATGAATGATAATCTGACGAGTATCATTACGGAGTGTGCAGTGGAAGTTGGAGGCAGGGTAGTTAGACAGGAGACTGGCAAGCTTTCCCAGGAAACGAAGAACCTAATTAAGAAGCGTCAAAGCATGAAAGTGTCAAGTACAACAGACAAAATAGAACTGGCAGAGCTTTCGAAGTTGATTAATAGACGTAAGGTATGCGATGTAAGAAGGTATAACATGGAGAGAATTGAACACGCTCTGAAAAACGGAGGAAGTGTCAAAGCATTGAAGAGGAAACTTGGGATAGGCAAAAGTCGGATGTATGCACTAAGGGACAAAGAAGGCAAATAACTACCAATATGGATAGGATAGTTAAAATAGCGGAGGAATTTTACAGAGATCTGTACAGTAGCCGAGACAACCACGACCTTAATACTATAAGAACTAGAAGTAACCCAGATTACACCCCACCAGTAATGATAGAAGAAGTCAGAAAAGCTTTGGAGAGCATGCAAAGGGGCAAAGCTGCTGGTGAGGATCAGGTAACATCAGATCTGCTGAAAGATGGAGGACAGATTGTGTTAGAAAAAAAAAAGAAAAAAAAAACTAGCCACCCTGTTTACGAGGTGTCTCCTGACGGGAAGAGTACCAGAGTCTTGGAAGAACGCTAACATCATCTTAATACATAAGAAAGGAGATGACAAGGACTTGAAGAATTACAGGCTGATCAGCTTGCTCTCTGTAGTATACAAGCTATTTACAAAGGTAATTGCTAACAGAGTAAAGAAAACATTAGAATTCAATCAACCAAAGGAACAAGCAGGATTTCGAACAGGCTACTCAACAATTGACCACATTCATAATATCAATCAGGTAATAGAGAAATGCTCAGAGTATAAGCAACCACTATACATAGCCTTCATAGATTACGAGAAGGCGTTTGATTCAATAGAAATTTCAGCCGTCATGCAAACACTGCGGAATCAGGGCGTAGATGAAGTATATATAAACATTCTGGAAGAAATCTACAGGGGATCAACTGCTACCATAGTGCTTCATAAAGAAAGCAACAGAATACCAATCAAGAAGGGTGTAAGGCAGGGGGACACAATTTCCCCAATGCTATTTACCGCGTGCTTACAGGAGGTTTTCAGAAGCCTAGAATGGGAACAGTTAGGGATAAGAGTCAATGGAGAATACCTTAGTAACCTGCGCTTCACCGATGACATTGCATTGCTGAGTAACTCGGGGGACGAATTGCAACTCATGATTACGGAGTTAGACAAGGAGAGCAGAGAGGTGGGTCTTAAAATTAATCTGCAGAAAACGAAAGTAATGTACAACAACCTCGGCAAGGAGCAGCGCTTCGAGATAGGTAATAGTGCACTTGAAGTTGTAAAAGACTATGTCTACTTAGGGCAGGTAATAACCGCAGAGCCGAACCACGAGATTGAAGTAACTAGAAGAATAAGAATGGGGTGGAGCACATTCGGCAAGCACTCTCAAATTATGACAGGTAGATTGCCACTATCCCTCAAGAGAAAGGTATATAACAGCTGTATCTTGCCGGTACTTAGCTACGGAGCAGAAACCTGGAGACTTACAAAGAGGGTTCAGCTTAAATTGAGGACGACGCAGCGAGCAATGGAAAGAAAATGGTAGGTGTAACCTTAAGAGACAAGAAGAGAGCAGAGTGGATTAGGGAACAAACGGGGTTAAGGATATCATAGCTGAAATCAAGAAGAAGAAATGGACGTGGGCAGGGCATGTAGCGCGTAGACAGGATAACCGCTGGTCATTAAGGGTAACTGACTGGATTCCCAGAGAAGGGAAGCGGGTTAGGGGGAGACAGAAGGTTAGGTGGGCAGATGAGATTAAGAAGTTTGCGGGTATAAATTGGCAGCAGCAAGCACAGGACCGGGTTGACTGGCGGAACATGGGAGAGGCCTTTGTCCTGCAGTGGACGTAGTCAGGACCTGGACACTGTTACATAAATCAACTTAAGCGCATGACAACTAACCACAATTGACTTTAACTCGACGTGACGGCTGTATCAAAAGAGTACACACGCAATGTTTATAAAATTGTGTAAGCAGCCTTGCAACTACTATTGGCTTTTCACGAAGATTAGCGTCTATTTAAAAAGTAGTTCCGAGACCTGGCATAGCTCTGTGGTAAAATGCTTCATTGCCACGCAGAATGCTTGAGTTCGATTCCAGCTAGGACTCTGACCATCATTCTTTGCATTCATCGGGTCGACGCTACCAATGCCAGGTATTTCTTGATGCTCGCGCGTTCAAATTGCCCATGTGTGTTCTCCTTGTTCATGGGTAGATACAAAGCGTCAATCACTTGTTGCACATACCTGCATACCAGCGGCACATACACGCCCGTAGGTATGTGCCACTGTCTGGCGGCAAGTGTTTGACGACGTACGCAACGGGATTGAGACATTATCCGTGCCTTGACCAGCGCGTCATATTCATCAAACCATCTTACCCTCCTATGCTAATTTTGGTTCACGCCAAGTTAAGGGGATGACCTCGAGAGCACCTAAACGTAAGCAGCGAGATAGATAGATCACGCCAAGTTAAGGGGATGACCTCGAGAGCACCTAAACGTAAGCAGCAAGATAGATAGATATGCTCATAGTCACCGAAGTTCGCTAAGAAATGTTTTGCATTTAAAAGTGTTTTACTGTGTCGATGCCAGTTCTGCGCTAAGTGCCGCAGTCATCTTGGTATACGAATTGGTCTGCATACTTGCTAGACACAAGCACCTACACTGATAACAATACTTACTGTCAATTCATTGGTGGACCACTTGGAGGGAAGGAAGGAAATTGCTGCAAAGCTTTTGTCCGAGGACCTTCGCCTGCAATAACTAGACTTGGTGACAACCTAAGGGTGTGCTACCAGCTTCACAAAAAAAAAAAAGGCACTGCAGTTTCACTTTATCTCTGCAAGAAAGCCGTGCCACCTTGAGTTTGCTCCCAGGATAACTTATTTCACTCCGCGATTGTAAACTATAGGCTTTGAAAAAGCCTTTTGTGGTAAAATTTTGTGGTAAACATTTTGTGGTAAACATTTTGTGGTAAAATTAACTATATCAGAAAGGCAAAGCTACATGATGTGATAGAAGTAAGCAAACGATTGGCTGACTCATATATATGAATAATCTCCAAGTTGCACAGCGGTATCCTCAAGCATATCGTTACAAGCGTCAAGCACTTTCACCTCCATCTAAATGCAGTCGCTTTTTGATGGAGGCAAAAGGCTTAAGACCTTTGTGCTTAGATTTAGGTGCACGTTAAAAAACCCCAGGTGGTCGTAATTTTCAAAGCCCTCTGCTACTGCATCTCATAATAATATTGTGGTTTTCAGACGCTAAACCCCAACAATTGTTATTATTGTTTTTTTATTATTATGGACTAACTCCCATCATCTGGAATTGATGGAATGACCATCTGGAATGATGAGTGTCAAATTATTGAATGCAATTCATATTTTTATTTATGTGTGTTGGTGCTTGGCCTAAGAATGTTGTCATTGGCTTGTTAAGTCCATATAAGATTGCTCCTTCAGAAATAAAGAACCAATTGAAGTTTAGTGTTATGTCTTCTGTGTTCTTCCTTGATCCCCATCCGCGTGCTGCAATCTTCGTGGAAGAATGAACCAGTTTATATTGATAAATTGTACCCTGAAAAATCTAATGTTCATTTCACCATCACATGTTTATTAATTAAGAAAGAAACTGAGGTCGAACTTTCATTTTTAAATATATGCTGAAATAGATTTAAAAGTCTATTTTTGACATTTCGGCAATGTTGACTCGATTAAACTTTCCGACACTTGGTGTGTTAACTACATGGCTCTCTCAAAAGACAAGGAACCTGAAACTATGTATGACCTGATAGACACCATCAAAATCTGCAATGTCATGGCATTTGATGCAGGAACTTTAACATAAGGTTGACTTGTTGGCTAATGGCAACAAAAAATACAGACGACGAGGCCCAAGCAACTCGGCGGAATCGGCCGCGCGACCCCACTCCCGAATGTTGATAGGGTTTGATACGGTACTAAGACATCATCGCTACCCACCTTTTCTTTTCACACATTTTCGTACTTTTCAAGTGTTTTCTCACCATAGCAGTTCTGTTTTCAGTACTGCAATTTACTAATAGGTGAAAAAATATTTCTCTTTAGTGTCCCTATTGTGGCATTGTGTCTGTTTTACGATATCACTTGCAGGCCATGCCGCTGTACACTGTGGTCGTCGGCTCCCCTGTCGTGGGAAGCAGCATGTGCAACATTTACAGCGTTGACTATCCCGAGCCAGCAACTTTCCAGCTGCCATCGGAAGCAAATCCTTTGACACCAGGCGAACCATCGTGGAGTAACTACGTTCGAGGCGTCGTAGCTCATTTTCCAGGCAAGTCGGCGATTTTTGCGAAAAACAATCAGCGATGACCACTGCGGTGTCTTCTTACAACTGCCCACTCCATGAAAAGTTAGCTGTGCTCGCTTCTCACTTTTTGTCGCTTGCTTATGAATGTACAAACTTTCTAAGTCAGGCCTGAGCAACAGGAATCGCACTTGTAACCTGGCTGCTTGCATTACATTTCTCTCTATGCTGTTCCTTTACTTGAAAGGAAGGAGGGTCGACTGAAAGCCACTGTGATTCATAGCTTGACGAGATAGATGCTCCGTGGACACGACGGCGGCGGATCGTTGAGAGTATTGGACAGATGCAAAAGGCTATATCTACAAGATATGGTGGTGTTTCTATCACATCAGCCTCGTTGTGTCTAGTGGTGACGGGAAATAAAACTGAACAGTGGACAGGACACAAGTAGAAGAGGCAGACAGTACAGGCGCAAAGTAACAACCAAACTTATTGACATTAAACTTCCACGTTTGATAGCACTTATGTACACAAGCGCGTAGAACAACACCATCTTACAGGCTCTTTATCCCAAAAATTCCGAGCTCTCTTTTATGTAAATGAACAGAAGGCTTGCTAATGGACTTATCAGAAGCAAGCCTCAAAAATACAGACACTTTAATTATTTCGTGTGCCCTTTATCCTCTGGCATGCCTCGGCCTGTGAGATGGTGCGTGATATTGTCACGAGTGCCTGTGCACGCAGTGCGCTGACAGACGTGGCAGTTTGATGTTTTCAACAAATTCGATTGTTTGTCCGCACCTCTCTTGTCTGCTTCTTCTGCTTGTGTCCCGCCCCTTGCGCAGTTTTATTCTACTTCTAATGCCATACCAACCAGCCACCCGAACACACATTTCTTAGGCCAAAGCCATTATCTTAAGTGGACGAACTGCAGTTTGGAAACAAGTGGCTGGCCTCTTCACTCCGGGTAGCTGGGAACACACAATGGTAGCATACTCACACATTGTGGCGCAGATCTACATGGTGTAGGTTTGTTGTTTGAGCCTTCCACTGGCCTTCTGTTGTAAAGATCATTGGTAAATGAACACCGATGTAGTCGTGTCAGTAAGTTACCCTTACAGAAACAATACATTTGCTACAGGAAGGCGTGTTTATTCATTTGCATTTATTGTAATATTTCACCATTATCATTAGCCTGACTACGCCCACTGCAAGCAAAGGCCTCTCCAGGAGCACGGTCCGCCAATCAATCGGTTCTTGCGCTTTTCGTTGCCACATTTATACCTGCAAAGTTTTTAATCTTATTGGCCCATAATTAGTATAATTAATACTAATTTCTAATTTGTATTATTTTTCATACCTTGTATTTATTTCATGTATTTGTAGTATCTGCAAGAGGCTGACCCACACACAGAGGGCCCGCTTTAACCTTGTCTTCTTTTCTCTGTGAGCTCCCCATCTTTCATAACAGCACTTTTTTTTCAACATATCGTATGGCAGGGGCACTGTACAGAAGATTTTATAGGAGGTATGGGTTAAAAAGAAGTGACTTGATAAGGACAAAAGCCATTTAATGGTTGCTTTCATGTCAAACTGGGTTGGCACGAAGCAAGACATTTGAAGGAAAAGTGTTCCAAGTAATGCCTGCCTTGATAGGAAAATTATTGAAGGTGCATGGAAAGGTGGCAAGGAGAAGGGTATGCAATGCAGCTTTGCTGACGCTTTGAGTGACGCGATGAGCCATACACGAGATTGTGAAAAATTTCTATACAGTGAACCTCGTGCAAATTCGCAACATTCTTGGAGATGGCATGTTTTCTCAGTGAGGCTTCGGCATGGGCTATCAGCTATCGAATTATTTTGTTCACTGCGATTTATATTTCACACAAAAAACAATGCAAGATGCACGTGCGCATTTTTTCGTTTAGGTTATTTGCACGAATTAAATAAAAGCAACTAATCACCAATTTTCTCAAATTGATTGTTAATAATCCATCATTGTAGGTTGAACGAAACTTTTCCAAGGACCGGTTCAAAAAGGACAAGTCTTACGTTCATGCGACTTGATCTCCTATTTTCATGCCACATACAATGATGGTGCATACGAGTACACTCACACCTCTATATAACGAATCCGAATACAACGAAGTATTAGCTATAACAAAGTGAATTGGGGATAGTCTTGCATTAGATGTAGTGTTGGCAATATACCTTTATAACGAATTTTGGGATATAACGAACTTATTTTCGTGTAAAATACAACTTTGTTATGATGAGGTTTGAGTGTAGTACCATTTCTAATGTGTGGGCAAACTAAACGCCCTTCTTTTGTCCCAACCGCATCCAGGACCCATACGGAGTGGCTTCAATGCAGTTGTAATAAGCTCCGTGCCCGTTGGAGCTGGCCTATCCAGTTCTGCCGCCCTGGAGGTGGCCATGTTCAACTTTTTGAGGATATTGCTGCATCCGGAGGAGCTCAGGTGAGCTGGAAGTTGTAAGAGCCTCTCATTTGCACTGTGAACGGGGGCTCTCAATGCTAGCTGGAATCCTGTGTTCCAGCAGCAAAGATCTGCAATGATTTGGAGCTTGAATGGCTGTCTCGCTTTGTCTCGAAACTTCCTGCAATTCTGTGCCTTCATTAATAAAAGTGCCCTACTCCCTGTCAAAGCTCTGACTTAATCAAAACTTGAACTCAGAGGATTCAAGAATCGCATATAATGAACAGTGTAATTTGGCTTATTTAAAAAGACTACGCAACAGCTTTCTTAAATCGTTGAGTGGTCTTACCACTGAATTCTTTTCTTCAATGAATGGACTGCTGAAAAAAAAAAAAAACGTTTGGGAGCCATCAAGTGTTGGTGCAGTTATCACACAAAATCTGTATTTCCTTATGTCTTTTTCACCAGAGTCCTATAGGAAACTGCAGGGATGCATAGCAAGGAAGCAGTGCGATCTCCAAAAGTCATGTTGCCATGCATGATGGCTTTGAGCGCTTTCTCCTCCTTTTTCTGTGAGCATATTGGCCACTACTACTTCTCATGGAAATGTGCAGGGCAATGCTTTGCATCATCTTATTCCGAGTCTTGTCACAGCGCTCTAAGATGCGGAACTTACCCTCAGACACTCTCCGCCACGGTAATTACAGTTCATAAATACAGCCACTACCCGTCACACCTGTGTGCTATCGCCTCTTGCCTGTTCCCCGAAAACATCACCAATGAGAGAGCAAGCAGTCTCTTCACAGCTTTTTACTGAATTTTCATTGCAAAGTTCCTGTCACATGCTGTGACATACAATCTGACTTGCGTATTCAGAGAAATGTCAGCTACAGATTGGCACAAGTTCCACAAAATCCCGAGAGTTGGCAGAAATTGAAAATTGGAATTCGATACGGATGATTTGATAACCTTTCTATTTCACAATGCAGTCATTACGAAACAGGTAGTTGTCAATTTTCTAACTACATTAAAAAACGTTTCACACAACCCCTTTTGAGCTTGTAATAAAAAGGCTGTAACTAACAGCTGTCTTAACTTACCTGCTGCTTGGAATGCATGTCGGCAAAGGCTGTTAATACTGGTGCTCCTACGGAATTACGTTGAAATAATGTATATATTTATCTTACCTATAATAAAAATGCCATGCAACATCTGTACTTACTTTTAGGTGGCTTTCATATTGAGCCGTCTGACAAAAATTAGCCGGTTTTCAGTGCCAATTTGTTACACTCCGCATTGTCGTGCATCCTTTGTGTTGCATTACCACAGCATGCTGTATATTTGAACATCATACCAGCAATCACAGCTGTGGATTCAAAAAATTATATGTAGTAATTTGCATAAAACACAGTATTGTGTCATTAAAAACAAGCAATGAAGACTGATTATTAGATATGCATTATGGTTACTTTGATGCTGCGTAATAGTGCATGAGGCAGTCATAAGCCTAAAGCAGAAAGAAATGAACGTATAGTTGCATCCGATTGACAGTCAGCCATCTGCATTTAGTGAACGTTATGCAGATTTGCGGCAAATTTTTTTTTCTTTTCTCTGGTCTCCTATGTGATTCGAAAACTTCTTGTGGGGTGGGACATGCCTATGCTTGAAACAATTGCGCATTCAAATGAATGAACACTGGAAAAATAGTGTGGATGAAAATTTTTCTTGATAAATTTACCTTGGATGTAGTCAAGCGTGTGCATCCTGGCAAACAACATTCTCCAATGTCTGTGTTGGCACTGAAGCGATGCACACCGGACCCCCCTGTGCTGCCAGAAAGCAGAGCACGAGTTTGCCGGAGTGCCATGCGGCATTATGGACCAGATGGCTGCCTATTGGTGCAGGCCGAGCCACGCCTTGCTTCTCGATTGCCGGTAAGTACCTACCGTCCCAGGTGTGCCCATGCGATTATATGCGGCCCGTGCTAGAGTTGAACCCCATTACAAGAGGCATGTACTGGACAGCAATTCTCGTCTCTTATACAAGGCGTCTCTCATAAGCTGGGTACCACGTGTATTTTCTTATGAACCCTTATTGCAATGTAAGCACAGTGTCGTCTCTTATACACATTAGTCTTTTACATTAGTCCCTCTTATGAACAGGTTTATACACATTAGTCTTTTACATTAGTCTCTCTCATGAACAGGTTTAACTGTATAGAGTTTCCTTCGATATTTGCTAGAGGGAACCCCAATGCTGTGATCGTTCAGCCCTCGTGCGAATGATCAGCAGTACACGGATTCGCCTCGTCTTTGTGGTTGCGGTTCGCACATGTGACTTTGTTGTTGTGCTTTGGTTTTCATTTCGGGTAAAAGAACGGACCGTTGTGAACTTCCTGAACCGATTTGAATTGTTGAGCCTTAACGGGTCAAGGCAACGAAGTGTAGCTGCTGAATTTTAGCCGGCCTTTGTCTTGTTATGAAACAGCTGCACGCCACACGAAGCCGAATGAAGCTTAGACAAATTCGTGTACTACATGTCAATCACGTGCTGGCTGAAGCACCACGCGTTACCGCTCCAGATTTCCCCCAAGTGTTTTATTAAGATACTCTATGGTCCATACAAGACCATCAACAAGTTTTTACGTTTTGACAGTCTTTTGTGGCCTTGTCATTCTTAGCTTCAAAGATGACACTTCTACACTAACATAGGTATTCTTAGACCCCACCATGACATATGGTGTGCCCAGACCACTTCTGCTTAATACAGCGGTTATTAATTTGTCTCTTTCTACGACGACGGCTGGTAATATATTGAAAACTAATATTCATGGTACGCATTTTTGGTTTGTGTGACGAAATGACTTACCTGAGAGTCTTCAATCATACTGTGGTAATTTGGTAAAACCTCGTGGAAAATTCCTTACAAGAATTTTTTTGTCACCATGAGGATGAAGTCGTAAGCTGAAAACAGCGATAAGCGAGGCTCATAGTAGTTGCACACTGGCTTCACCGTGAACCGTTACGATCTGCCTGTAGTGCTATCTAGTGTATGTAGTGTGTGGGGTCTTTTCATGGGAGAAAGACCGCAGTACGAAGTAAAAAGAAAAAAAAACATCAGGGCATTTATTGCACATTCTGTGAGGTATGTCAGGTAGCAAATAGCACATTTAATATACCGTGCCGATGGAATACATTGTGCAATTGAGGAATCAAGCCAGGTACATGCGGTTCGCCCATGCTGGGAGGAAAAGGCCATGTCGTCAGTGGCACAGTCTTGTGGAGCAATTTGTCTAGTGTGCAAACTATCTGCATGTGATGCACTTCCCAAGACAACAAAACAAGTTTCTCTTGCACCCGAGTAATGCACCAGAACTCAGTGGCAGTGCTGCCAGTGACGATGAGCAGAAAGAATGGCGCCTTACGACAGAAAACATGAATATTTCACTATCTTATTGCATGGTGTTTCCATTTGTTGTTACAAACTGCTACAATTCAGGCAGCTGTTGATCATTATGGATAAGCTCTATGATGAAGCAGGAGTACTTTGCCCTGATAAAGTTGTACTGATTTGACAAGGTAACACATGCTTGTTAATTAGTAACTTTTCAAGTACCAACTTGCAGGAAGTTTATGTGGAAAAACTCTAGGGTACCACAATATACGGGAATGCCCTTTCTTAACAAGTTAAAGAAATCACACGAAACTGAAAATATTGATAATCCAACTGTCCTGCAGGCCGATTGCAATGATCATATCTGATGAAAAATCAGTCTCACATTGGCGGTACTTCTGAGCATCTGATGTTGGTGACATTTACGACTCCAGGTCCCTTGCCTTGGAGCATGTGCCGCTCAACCTGACCTCTGCAATCATTCTGGTTACCGACTCGAAAGTGAAGCATGCCCTGACCGGTGGTGAATACGCCCGACGCCGCGAGAGCTGCCAGGCTGCGAGCGCCGTCCTTGGCAAGAGCCTGAGAGATGCTTCGCTCGAAGATCTTGAAGGTACGCTGCAGTTTTCCCAGGAGTCGTTTACAAGGTGCCATTTTCCGGAGACCAGTGTGCTAAATTATCCAATCACCACATCATCTTGTTAGTGCCCTAGCATTCTCACACTTTCTTCTTCTCTCTTGGCTCAACATAAGTTGTCGAAAGTATGCCTTTCACATGTTCCATATTGTCACATGATCGCGACAGTGAAAAAGGCAGCAGTCGGACTGTAAAAGGCGAAGCTCTTAATTAAACAACTTGGACTATGGGAATGAACAGTAGTCGTACAAGCGACGCATGATGATACTGATAGCTGCGATCACAGTCATCGGCTGTAGTTGATCTTTTCGTCTGTGAAATGTGCAGACTTCTATAGATGCCTTATAAAACCTCCTAGCGTTGTCACTAGCGCTTGTGTTGGCTACAGAAACAACTTGTTTACTTGTGTCGTGTGTGTAGTCTTTACAGAACAACTTGAAACAATCACTAAATTTCTAAACCGAGCAAAGACCACCCCTCTACATCTAGTTCAATAATTTTTCTTTCACAGCGCTTGCTCCGCTCGGGATTAAACGGTCTGCTAATGAATGGACAGTGCATTTTCTCCAAGTGAATAACTAACTGAGAGACCACACATGCCACTTGTCATGCAGGCTGCCGAGAACAGATGACGTCGGAACAGTACCATAGAGCTCGGCACGTCGTCTCTGAAATCCGGCGCACAGCCCAAGCAGCCAAGATGCTCCGAAAGGGCGACTTCCGGGGCCTGGGTGAACTCATGAATGCCAGCCACGCATCTCTCAGGTGCGGTTGCTTCTAATTCCAGTAGCCCAATCCTATCATCGTCAGCCTAATTTCTATACCCCTGCAGCATACGTCACTTTGCAACATTGCAACCACACAAAGCAACCTAATCGATCAGTGGTTATGTGCTGTGTCAACGTACATACTGATCATGTCTGTGAGGGTCCTATTGAGGCGCTCCGTCAGTCCGTTTGTCTGCGGATGGTATGCAGTTGTTCTCCGGTGAGCTGTACCGCTGAGTCTGAGAACCGACTCCAAAAGCTCTGCGGTGAAGGCAGGTCCTCTGTCTGTGATCACTGTTGTCGGAGCGCCATGCCGAAGGACGATGTTTTCGATGAAAAACTGAGCGGCTTCTGCTGTTGTGCCACGCTGCATAGCTTTAGTCTCTGCATAACGGGACAGGTAATCAGTGACCACAATAATCCATCTGTTCCCTGTTGTGGAAGTTGGAAAGGGACTCAGGAAATCCATTCCAATCTGGGTGAACGGCTTTTCCGGTGCTTCGACTGGATGTAAAAGACCGGCTGGCTTGCTGGGAGGCGCTTTGCGTCTTTGGCAGTCGGTGCACGTTCGCACGTGATGGTTAACCGCAGCAGGTAACTTTGGCCAGTAGTACTTGCATCGTAGTCGGCACAATGTTCGGGTGTAGCCTAGATGACCAGAAGTTGCTTCATCATGGCACGCTTCCATTATTTCTTTTCGAAGAGAGGCAGGCACGACGAGCAAGTGCGGGTTACCAGTTGGTGAGAAGTTTTTCTTATAGAGAACATCGTTTCGCAAGCGAAAAGATGGCAGTCCTCTAGCAAATAACTGCGGCACGTCTTTACGTTGTCCTTCTAAATATTCAATGAGTGGTAACAGCTCAGGGTCACTGCGCTGCTCTCGTGCAATAGTGGCTGTGTTGACAACTCCCAAGAATGCCGCGTCGATGTTTTCGTCATCAGGAGCGACAGTTTCCACTGGCAACCGTGAGAGACAGTCGGCGTCGGTGTGCCTCTTCCCAGATTTGTAGACGATGGTCATGTCAAACTCTTGAAGTCTTAGGCTCCAGCGCGCCAAACGACCAGATGGATCTTTAAGGTTGGTGAGCCAGCACAAAGAGTGATGGTCGCTAACAACCTTGAAGGAGCGGCCGTACAAATACGGACGAAATTTGATGACTGCCCACACCACGGCGAGACACTCCTTCTCGGTGGTCGAGTAGTTCTCCTCCATGCGAGAGAGAGTTCTGCTGGCGTAGGATATTACTCTTTCACAGCCGTCTTGCCACTGCACCAGAACGGCACCTAGACCTACATTGCTGGCGTCAGTGTGAAGTACTGTAGGGGCGTCCTGGTCGAAGTGCGCAAGGACTGGAGGTGTTTGCAAGCGTTGTCGCAGTTCATTGAATGCCATTTGCTCCTGTTCACCCCAAAAGAAGGGGACATCCTCACGTGTGAGTCGTGTCAATGGCGCCGCAATAGACAAAAAGTCCTCGATAAATCGCCGGTAATAGGCGCACAACCCTAAGAAGCGTCTCACAGCCTTTTTGTCACGGGGTGCAGGAAATTGCGCTACGGCATCTATTTTGGCCGGGTCAGGTCGAACACCCTCGTGACTGACGACGTGGCCTAGGAAGCTGAGTTCGTTGAAACCAAAATGACATTTTTCTGGTTTTAAAGTCAGGCCGGCCGAGCGTATGGCTTGGAGTACGGTGGATAGACGGCTGAGATGTTCCTCGAATGATGCTGAGAATACAACAACATCGTCCAGATAGACCAAGCATGTTTGCCACTTCAGGCCCGATAGTACGGTGTCCATGAGATGCTGAAAAGTGGCTGGCGCCGAGCACAACCCAAAAGGAAGCACCTTAAATTCATAAAGGCCATCAGGCGTCACAAAGGCCGTTTTTTCACGATCTCTCTCGTCGACTTCTATCTGCCAGTAGCCGCTTCGGAGGTCCGTTGAAGAGAAATAGCGCGCATGACGCAGCCGATCGAGTGAATCGTCTATGCGAGGCATTGGATAGACGTCTTTCTTCGTGACTTGGTTCAACTTGCGATAATCAATACAGAAACGCAAGCTGCCGTCTTTTTTCTTGACCAAAACCACAGGGGACGCCCAAGGACTTTTTGAAGGTTGTATGACGTCATCCACGAGCATCTTCTGTACTTGCTTCTGAATCTCCTCGCGTTCTTTCGGAGCCACGCGGTAGGGGTTCTGCCGAATCGGTCGCGTGTTGTCTTCGGTGATGATGCGGTGCTTGGTCAATGGTGTCTGTCCGCTGGACCTTTGACGTACGCGAAAAGCAGTCTTTGAATTGGTGTATAAGTCCAAGCAGACGCTTCCTATCAGAGGACGGTAGCGTGGAGCAGATGTCCACCGACAAAGTTGTCGAGGCAGGGACTGTCGCGTCATCTGGTTGCAAAGCACAGCAATCTCCGGCTTGGTCTATATCGTCGAAGTAGGCAATTGCGGTACCCTTCTGGATTTGACGGCGCTCGTTGCTGAAGTTTGTAAGGAGCACTTCTGCTTGTCCACCAGTAAGCGTTAGAATGCCTCTCGCGATGGAAATGCCTTGAGTGAGCAAAAGAGCGACTATGTGCTCCACTATCACATCCTTATAGGAAGGCCACCCACTGGACACAGACACAAGGCAGCAGGATCTCGGTGGGAGCGTCACATCGTCGGCTATTCGCAAACTGCCGCGTAGTTCGTCGCTGCTGTCGTCGACATACGGATGTGTGCAAAACGTCACCATACGTTGAGGAATGTTGATAATAGCGCCATGATCTCGAAGAAAATCCATGCCCAAAATTAGCTCTTTACAGCAGTCTGGCAACAGGACGAAAGTGGCCACGAAGCTAGAATCCCCAATGCGAAGTCGAGCGGTGCATTTACCCGTGGGAATCATCAGCTGACCACCAGCACTCCTTATGTGTGTCCCTGTCCACGGTGTCTTTACCTTTCTAAGGCGGTCGGCGAGTTCTTGTCGCATGATTGAGAAGTCGGCGCCAGTGTCGACCAGTGCTGTAACGTAATGTCCGTCAATGAAAACGCCTAGATCAGCACGTACAACTTCACCGGCATTAGTATTCGTCGTCGTATTCGTCGTGGTTGTCGTCATACCTTCTTGCGATGATAGGGGGAACTTTTCGGTGTCTCGACGATTGGCAACCTTGCCCCCGGAGGTCGCAGCAGTTAGTTTCCCCGGCGCGGGCTAGGCGAACGGCCTCTGGTGACGTCCGCGTAGCTCTGAGGGAAGTCACGGTGACGCGCAGGAGATGGAGATCGCCAGCGACGCGGTGTAGTTGCTTGGCCAGTCGACAGTTGATCGGCATCGTGGGCACGACGGTCTTCAGAGCGGAAAGAAGCGGGACGAGAAAAGTTCCCGAAGCCGGAATCGCTATGACGGCAATAGCGAGCAATGTGACCTGGTTCTCCGCAGCGGAAGCAAATAGGTCGACGGTCGGCCATGCGCCACAAGTCAGTTCGGTGAACTGGTGGTCGTCTCATGGAATCCCGTTGCCACCAAGGTACGGCCGCGGGTCGTGGCTGGAAGGATGTCGCCACAAATGACGGTGGAGGACGACGGACCACATCAGCGTAGCTCGCTGGATGTGGCTCAGGACTTGGCGCCGGTGGTGTAACGGCTTGCCTCAACTCCTGGCGGACGATTTCGGCAACAGATGCGACGGGCGGTTGGGTAGGAGGGACGCAGAAGGCCCAAAGTTCCTCACGCAGTATTTCCCTAATCATTTGTCGCAGGGAACTTTCACACACGGCAGTGTTCTGAGCTGCAGCACTTACTGCCGTGTGGTTCGGCAGGCGGTCAAAGTGTCGGTATCGTTGTCGCAGTGCGCGCTCGATGACAGTCGCCTCTCTTATGAATTCATCTACTGTTGTAGGTAAATTTCGTACGAGGCCCGCAAACACTGGTGCTTTGACACCCTGCATTAGGTGACGCACCTTCTTCGCCTCGGGCATGTCAGGGTCAGCTCGTCGAAACAGACGGATCATACCCTCTGCGTACATGGCGGCTGTTTCGTTGGGTTTTTGTGCGCGAGCCTCAATCAGTTGCTGTGCGCGATCCCGTCGGTCCGTGTTCAAAAATGTGGCGAGGAGCTTTCGGCGGAAATCTTCCCAAGATTGGAAAGTAGCCTCGTGGTTCTCCTACCACGTGCGAGCGCTATCTTCCAGGGCGAAATATGCTCGGCCAAGTTTGTGCTGTTCGTTCCAGTGGTTAGATACAGCGACCCGTTCGAACTGTTCGAGCCAGTCCCTGACATCCTCGTACTCTTCTCCACGAAAAACTTCAGGAACGCGAGGATGTTCAAGAGTCACCTGGGAGGGAAGTGCGGTCTGCGATGGAAGGGTAGCCGTGGATGTGGTAGGAGCTGCCATGCTGGTTAGAGGCGGAACAGGTACGGACTTCGGACTTAGGCCTAGTAGGCGCCGACTGAATCGGTGCACCGGAGTCGTGACGAGGGGCTGGGTCTCTGGACTAGATGAACGGGTCCGAGCAAGACTGTCCGGCATCCGGTTGTACCCAGCACCTCCACCAGTGTCACGACGTCAAAACAGAGATCTTGCCGTAGAGACTGACACCAGAAGCAGGTCGATCTTTTTAATTAGAACGCGCAAGCGAGTTCTTCTTCTTCGTCCATTTCGGAGTTCTTCGTGGCACATGCACAACTGTCATCGTCTTTCTTGGGCAAGCACGTGACAATACCCCCTTGAAATTTCAATTTCTTCATATTAGTGATTGTAGCATTGTGCTGCTGAGCACTAAAATACAGGCTATAAGTTCCAGGCCACAGTGGCTTCATGTAAACAGTGTGAAATGCAAAAAAAATGTCCTTTTCTGTGCATGTTATAAAACTCCTTAGCGGTCAAAGTTAACCAGAAATGTCTCGTTTATTTATATCAGTGTTTTGTCCAGTGGAGCAGCAAAACCTAAATCATTCTTGAATCTTCCACTTAAATGCCCATCACGATATTAGAGCTGTTCGTTTGCTTACTTAATTCACATTGCCGTCTTCTTGTCTCGGTTAGGTTTATTGTCTCTTTTTTTCATCGCTAGAAGTGGTATTCTGAAAGAATTGCGGATTGTGACAATCACCAAATTGTTGCCTTTGACACACGCTGATTGGCTGTTGAGCATAACCAGAAAATTTATGGCACCATCTAGTATTCCCGTCGATGTCACAGTGCTCTGTGGCACTCTTAACATGAGTGGAACAAACAGACGTACCTTATCACCGTTGGTGGGTCGTGAGGTCTAGCTTTGAGTTACACGGTCACTTGCAGTATTGATTCTCTGGTGGATGTGCACAGCATCGTCTACGCCGAAGTTTGCAATGCGCATCAAGGTGGTCAACACAAACGATGACTCAACGGCTGTTGTTTGATGAGCGCAGGAAAGGGCCGACAAGATCCCCTCCGACTATTTCGAAATGTGTTGAGGCTGGTGTCAAAGGGTGGAGGAGTCCGACTGGGGAAGTGTTTGGGTGTTTGAATTGTTGGCATTTGTCACAACTGGCCACATACTTTTCTATAGTACTTGTCATTCTATGCCAGTAGAATCTATACTGTGAACACGGCGATACGTTTTGGCGAAACCAATGTGTCCGGCGGTTCCGTTATCATGCATAGCACAGAGCACGCCTCCTCGCAACATTGTGGGGACCACTAATAGTAAGCGTGCACCATCAGCTGCGTAATTCTTTTTATATAGCAGGTCATCTTCCATAACAAAGCCATTCTTGTTTGTCGGCTGAGCAGCAGAGTCGAACAGGTCATTCAAGCTGCGGTCATCGTGCTGTTCTTTCCTGAAGGTGGCGAGGTCGGGAAAATATGTGTCATCAATGGCGGTTAAGAATTCATCAAAATTATTACCGTCACAAGTAGTTTTAGGTATTGGGAGCCACGAACGACAGTCGGCATCGGCATGTTAGTGGCCACTCTTGGAACGGACCGCAAAGCCAAATTCCTGCAAGTGTAGCGCCCACCAGGCAAGGCGACCAGATAGGTCACTGAGATCAACTAACCGACATTGTGAATGATGATAGGTAACAATCATCCTTCCAACTACGAACTGTGAGCATAAACTGCTCAGTCCAAGCCTCGCGTGCTGTCCATGGGTAAGCTGCACAAATTAGGCACCTGTATATAGGACACATGCACACGTGCCAGCAAGTCGAGCAAGGAGGCGTCCAAGCGGTAGGGGTGCATGTCTGTAGATCAGCAACGAAATTTCCACCCTCGAATAGCCTCATATTCGACCTCGGCTCAGAGTGGGCAAAAACAAATGCTTCGAGTGCAACACTTTACTTCGCGATTAAATGACATCACTTGCTGAACGTGCAGGGACGACTTCGAGGTTTCCTGTCCCGAACTGGACGAACTCACTCGACTGAGCTTGGAGTCCGGAGCATACGGATCTCGGCTCACGGGCGCAGGATTCGGAGGATGCACAGTGACGTTGGTGGAGGAGAGGCTATTGCCAGCTCTTATGGACAACATCAAGGTATGCCAATGGTTTTTTTCAGTAACATGAACCGTAACTTCGCTTCTTTAATGTATTTGAAACTCTTAAGCCTGATTCACACTGCTGTAATATGTTTCACCATGGCATTGGCGATGAAACTGCCTCAAAGCACATCTGTTGTCGTGGCCATGCAGATCTGTAGCATTGTGATCACAAGTGGACGTTATATCTTCAAATGACACATTTTATGATGGACAACGTGCAGATCATGTTGGGTTGTGAAACAAATGTTATTTCAAAAATACACCAGCAGTTAGAATGTGCTTGACCATGTGTGCTCTTTAGTTTTTGTTCGTTGTGTGCAAAGGTGCTAAAAGATGAATTTGCCCCAATCAGGTCGGCACTTTTCTCATGAATTGTTGCATGGGAAAAGCTCTTGTCTTTTACGTAACTAACTAGACAGATAAAAGTTGTAACCTGAACACATGAGAGTGATACAGCCTCCCCGCATCAAAATATAATTTTGCAATTTTTGCATGGAGTTTATTTTATCGCAATAGCAATAACAGTTGAACCCCTTTATGAGACAATAAGAGACAAATAGGTATAAGACCAGTGCGCCTACATTAAATATGGGTTGAAAGGAAAATGCATACAACGTACCCTGATCATAAGAGATCTCTCTTATGAGAAACAAGAATTGCTGCCCAGAGTATGCCTCTTATAAAGGGGTTTAACTGCACATGAATATTTTCTAACGCGCAGAATTGAACAGGCGATCTCTAGCTCCGCAGAGTGCAATGCTAACCGTTTTGGCTACAGCAGCGCACGCCCTACAGCATACTAACAGCGAGCCATTTATACACGCTATTTATCGCTGGCAATACGCTGATTGCAGGGAAATACCAGCATGTTCTCCGCTTTATCAGCAAACCAGTGTGATGGCGTGAAGAGTGCACACGGCACCCCACTCGTCGCAATGCGTTGGCTCATAACATGCACTTTGCCCAACGAGGTGTAGTCGCCCCTGCCCGTGTGCCTATTTTTTGACGGGGGCAGTTTGTACTGCATTGTGTACTTTCGCCGCAAAGATAGTGTTTAGTTTACAGGGCATTCAAAGGTCACTTTGCTCACTGCAGGGGGCTGGCAAAAAAAAAGCACTCTTTCAAACACGGTGAAGTGACAACTGCGACACTTGTTAGTTAGCACTCGTCCTGTGCTATGAAGCTTCTATGAGGACGTGGAATCGGCAATGAGTAAGGTAAAAACACAGTATACTATAATGATGGGCGACTTTAATGCAAAGGTAGGGAAGAAGCAGGCTGGAGACCAGGCAGTAGGAGATTATGGCATCGGCACTAGAAACGCCAGAGGAGAGCTACTAGTAGAATTCGCAGAACGCAATAATTTGCGGATTTTGAATACCTTCTACCGAAAACGAGAAAACCGCAAGTGGACATGGAGGAGCCCTAATGGCCAAAACAAGAACGAAACAGACTTTATAATGACTGCACACCCAGGAATCGTGCAGGATGTGGAAGTGGTTGGCAAGGTACGATGCAGTGACCATAGAATGGTACGGTCTCGAATTCACCTAGACTTGAAGAAGGAATGACAGAAACTGATACGCAAGAAGCCAATCAATGAGCTAGCACTGAGAGGGAAAGTACAGGAATTCAGAGTGTCGCTGCAGAACAGGTACTCGGCTCTTAGTGAGGAAACCAACCTTAGCGTAGATACAATGAATGATAATCTGACGAGTATCATTACGGAGTGTGCAGTGGAAGTTGGAGGCAGGGTAGTTAGACAGGACACTGGCAAGCTTTCCCAGGAAACGAAGAACCTAATTAAGAAGCGTCAAATCATGAAAGTGTCAAGTACAACAGACAAAATAGAACTGGCAGAGCTTTCGAAGTTGATTAATAGACGTAAAGCATGCGATGTAAGAAGGTATAACATGGAGAGAATTGAACACGCTCTGAAAAACGGAAGAAGCGTCAAAGCAGTGAAGAGGAAACTTGGGATAGGCAAAAGTCGGATGTATGCTCTAAGGGACAAAGAAGGCAAAGTAACTACCAATATGGATAGGATAGTTAAAATAGCGGAGGAGTTTTACAGAGATCTGTACAGTAGCCGAGACAACCACGACCTTAATACTATAAGAACTAGCAGTAACCCAGATGACACCCCACCAGTAATGATAGAAGAAGTCAGAAAAGCTTTGGAGAGCATGCAAAGAGGCAAAGCTGCTGGTGAGGATCAGGTAACATCAGATCTGCTGAAAGATGGTGGAGAGATTGTGTTAGAAAAACTAGCCACCTTGTTTACGAGGTGTCTCCTGACGGGAAGGGTACCAGAGTCTTGGAAGAACGCTAACATCATCGTAATAACAAAAGAAAGGAGATGACAAGGACTTGAAGAATTACAGGCCGATCAGCTTGCTCTCTGTAGTATACAAGCTATTTACAAAGGTAATTGCTAACAGAGTAAAGAAAACATTAGAATTCAATCAACCAAAGGAACAAGCAGGATTTCGAACAGGCTACTCAACAATTGACCACATTCATACTATCAATCAGGTAATAGAGAAATGCTCAGAGTATAACCAACCACTATACATAGCCTTCATAGATTACGAGAACGCATTTGATTCAGTAGAAATATCAGCCGTCATGCAGACACTGCGGAATCAGGGCGTAGATGAAGTATATATAAACATTCTGGAAGAAATCTACAGGGGATCAACTGCTATCATAGTGCTGCATAAAGAAAGCAACAGAATACCAATCAAGAAGGGTGTAAAGCAGGGGGACACAATCTCCCCAATGCTATTTACCGCAAGCTTACAGGAGGTTTTCAGAAGCCTAGAATGGGAACAGTTAGGGATAAGAGTTAATGGAGAATCCCTTAGTAACCTGCGCTTCGCCGATGACATTGCATTGCTGAGTAACTCAGGGGACGAATTGCAACTCATGATTACGGAGTTAGACAAGGAGAGCAGAAAGGTGGGTCTTAAAATTAATCTGCAGAAAACGAAAGTAATGTACAACAACCTCGGAAAGGAGCAGCGCTTCGAGATAGGTAATAGTGCACTTGAAGTTGTAAAAGACTATGTCTACTTAGGGCAGGTAATAACCGCTGAGCCTAACCACGAGATTGAAGTAACTAGAAGAATAAGAATGGGGTGGAGCACATTCGGCAAGCACTCTCAAATTATGACAGGTAGATTGCCACTATCCCTCAAGAGGAAGGTATATAACAGCTGTATCTTGCCGGTACTTAGCTACGGAGCAGAAACCTGGAGACTTACAAAGAGGGTTCAGCTTAAATTGAGGACGACGCAGCGAGCAATGGAAAGAAAAATGGTAGGTGTAACCTTAAGAGACAAGAAGAGAGCAGAGTGGATTAGGGGACAAACGGGGGTTAAGGATATCATAGTTGAAATAAAGAAGAGGAAATGGACATGGGCCGGGCATGTAGCGCGCAGACAGGATAACCGCTGGTCATTAAGGGTAACTAACTGGATTCCCAGAGAAGGGAAGCGGGTTAGGGGGAGACAGAAGGTTAGGTGGGCAGATGAGATTAAGAAGTTTGCGGGTACAAATTGGCAGCAGCAAGCACAGGACCGGGTTAACTGGCGGAACATGGGAGAGGCCTTTGTCCTGCAGTGGACGTAGTCGGGCTGCTGATGATGATGATGACTCGTCCTGTGTACCTGCGCCATGTTTTATGTTTTCTTTGTGTTCGAGAAGCACGATAAGTGTCGAGCTGTAAACATTGTTAGTACGCACTCGTCCTCTGTCTCTTTCGTGATTCCTTTGTGCTTGTGCAACGTGCTCCAAGTTTTAACCTGCTTGCTGCTCTTCACATGAAATCCTGATCTGTTGCTATCGCATTCATTGCTTCGCACTTGCAGCAAAGCTGTGACTTCTTTTGTGGGCACGGCAATGCACTTTTTCTACTCGTGGTTCTGAATTTGTTTGTTGCGACATGTTTAATGATACTACTAGGGACTCATGGTACACATTAGAGACTCTGTTTCAAACAGATAAAAATACCCCATGAGTGGCTACACAGCTTTTTGTAGCAACGCTTGCCACTGCCGAATTCTTTCGCTGGTATGCACTGACCTCGTCAAGGCTGCTGTTTCACAGTACAGCCGGCACTGCGAAAAGCTACAGGTCACGCAACGAAAATGCACACGTCAACGTCACGCGAATACTCCGTATTGCATGTATGTGATCGGAGTGCTTTTGTCATCAAATAATGCGGCTAGTGTGGCACCATACATGAGATGACGGGGCTAGCATTGTTTCCTTTTTTTTTTCTCAGAGTAACTTCAAGGGACAAGCCTGCTTCTACATTTGCGAGCCATCGGAAGGTGCACAGTACGGCTTTCTGAGCAGCCTTGCAAGTGTGATGAGCAGCTGAAGCTGAGACTGCGGTCTAAAGAAGAGAAGAAATTGTTTGCTCTACAACGGTGACTGAAGACTGAAAGGGACAGTCTCCCGTGTAGATATGTAGTGGCTAGGCTAGTACAAATAGTGAATTTCAGTTTCGAAGCAAATAGTGATTGATGATTTGATTGATTTGTGGGGTTTAACGTCCCAAAACCACCATATGATTATGAGAGATGCCGTTGTGGAGGGCTCCGGAAATTTTGACCACCTGGGGTTCTTTAACGTGCATCCATATCTGAGTACACGGGCCTACAACATTTCCGAATAGTGATTGATGATTGATATGTGAGGTTTAACGTCCCAAAACCACCATATGATTATGCGAGACGCCGTAGTGGAGGGCTCCGGTAATTTCGACCACCTGGAGTTCTTTAACGTGCACCCAAATCTGAGCACACGGGCCTACAACATTTTCGCCTCCATCGGAAATGCAGCCGCCGCAGCCGGGATTTGATCCCGCTACCTGCGGGTCCGCAGCCGAGTACCTTAGCCAAAATAGTGATTCCAGAATAATTTTGAATCGAATTCGAATAATGTGACATCTTACAAGGAAACATGAGCATATTTTTTATGACCTAACTAACCTGCACAATATATATTCAAATTAAAAAGAGGCCTGCACAAATGCATTCTTTTTGGTTCAAAGATAGTAGAAAAAACTTTGCATAGTAACAGGATTTCACTACTGGTTCATGAATTATAGTATTGTATTTTAAAACTTATTAACAGCATATAAGCCATGTAACAAGCTTTTAAACCTACAAAATGATGAATCAATGTGAGCGTAACATAGGTGGAAAGTTTTCATATTCCCAGAGGGGGCGAGGTGCCCAACTTGCTCTTTCACATGTCTTTCTCTCTAATTATATATTATAATTCTCTGAAAAAAAGGTAGACGAACGTACAAAACGCAGTTTTTACTAACACTTTCGCAGGGGGCCCTGTGTCCGTCAGAGTAAGAATATATATATATATATATATATATATTGTTACGTTTGAAAGAGACTGGTAGACGTTGAAAGGGGCCGTTTATTAGGTCGCGAGGGGCAGCTCAGAAGCGGCCGACTGGGTAACGATCCTCCTGATCCTCTTCTTCTTCTCTCGCTCTGGGCGACAAGTGCGTTCACCGTATACGCTTCTTTTTCTTCGTGCATATACGCAACATTCCTCTCCGCGCAGACGAAGGCTGCCGGACGAGTCAGTCGAGTTGTCGTGGCGTGTACAGTTTCAGGCGGGCAACATGAACCACTTGAGTTTTGGCAGCTCGTCGGCCACTCGCCGTGAGACGAGCTATTACATAGTTGACCTCTGTAAGTCTGTCGACAATCACAAAAGGTCCATCGTAAGTGGCCAAAAACTTTTGGCATAACCCGCGCTTGCGCATCGGAGTCCACAACCACACCAGATCACCACGGCGATAAATCACTGCTCGATGGTGAATGTCATAGCGTGCCTTCGACTTGTCTTGCGATGCCAATGTGCGCAGTAGAGCTATGCGACGCGCCTCTTCGGCGAGGCAGAGAGTCTCGGCGACAGTGACGTTGTCGTGGTCACAGAAAGGCAATATCGTGTTGATTGTGTACCGGGGCGAACGGGCATAAAGCAAAAAGAAAGGGCTATAGCCTGTAATCTCATGCTTCGCGGTGTTGAACGCGTAAGTAATGAAGGGGAGTACGTCATCCCAGTTCTTGTGGTCGCAGGAAACATACATAGACAACATGTTGATAATGGTGCGGTTGGTACGTTCCGTCAGCCCATTAGTTTGGGGGTGGTATGGTGTCGAGTGACGCAGGCGGGATTCACATAAACGGAGTAGCTCCTCCACGACATCCGCTGTGAATTGTCGTCCACGATCACTGATAATCAGGCGAGGTGGGCCATGTCGGAGGATGACGTACTGTAACAAAAACGACGAGACTTCACTGGCAGTTGCGGAGGGGACGGCCGCCGTCTCGCAGTAGCGTGTGTGGCAGTCGACGCAAACAATTATCCATCGGTTGCCCTTAGCCGATTTTGGGAAGGGGCCCAGAAAGTCAATGCCCACTTGTTCAAAAGGTGCGCCTGGAGTAGGCATCGGCTGTAGAAGACCAGCTGGACCAGTTGATGGACGTTTGTGACGCTGACATTGCATGCAGCTTGCCACATAGCTCTCAACAGACTTCTGCATACCAGGCCAATAAAAGCGCTCTTTAGTCCGGTGAAGCGTCCGCGCCACACCTAAATGTCCAGATGTAGGGTCGTCGTGCATGACACTCATAATAACTGTTCGCAGGCTCTCCGGGACCACTAGAAGGAAACGCGCGCCACTACTGGAGAGGTTCCTTTTGAACAACAGTCCATCACGCATACAGAAACGGCGGGCACTAGTAGAAGCGGATGCAGCGGCGAATAGTGGTGCCAGTTTAGCATCTTTCCGCTGTTCTGCTCTAAAACTGGGATAGTCCGGGAACGTAGGCGACACAGACGCTACAAGCTGGTCAAGGTCATCGGATTCACAGTCTGTTGTACTAAGTGGCATACGTGAAAGACAGTCCGCGTCAGCATGTCGACGACCACTCTTGTAAGCGACGGTAAAACTGTATTCTTGTAGCCGGAGTGCCCAGCGCGCAAGGCGACCACAAGGGTCACGAAGGTTGACAAGCCAACACGAGTGGTGGTCGGTTACGACTGTGAATGGGCGTCCGTACAGGTAAGATCTAAACCGCTGAATTGCAAATAATACCACCAGGCATTCTTGTTCCGTAACAGTGTAGTTTTGTTCCGGCCTGCTTAGGGAGCGACTTGCGTATGCGATGACGTGTTCGCGGTCGCCGTAACGTTGTACTAGGACGGCGCCAATACCTATGCCGCTAGCATCCGTATGAAGCTCTGTCGGAGCAGAAGGACTGAAGTGCTGAAGGACGGGTCGTGACGTCAGCAAAAACTTCAATTGACGGAATGAAGAATCGCACTCCGGAGTCCACTCAAAGGAATTGTCCTTTCGTAAGAGGCATGTGAGAGGATACGCCACGTCGGCAAACTTCGGAATAAAGCGGCGGAAGTACGAACAAAGCCCCAGGAAACTACGAAGCTCCTTGACGGAACGCGGCGCATTGAACGCCTCAACTGCTGCTGTCTTCTGGGGGTCAGGGCGGATGCCATCCTTGTCAACGAGATGCCCGAGCACAAGCGTCTGGCGGTCTCCGAAGTGGCATTTCTTCGAGTTTAAAATTAGGCCAGCGTTTCGGATGCAGTTCAAAACAGTATCCAGACGAGAGTTGTGTTCACTGAACGTGCGGCCAAAGATGATGACGTCGTCGAGGTAGCACATGCAAATGTTCCACTTCAAGCCACGCAGAATGGTGTCCATAAACCTCTCGAAGGTTGCCGGTGCATTGCACAGTCCAAATGGCATTACGTTGAATTCATAAAGCCCATCAGGGGTTACAAAGGCAGTCTTTTCCTTGTCCTCTGGGTGCGTCGGAATTTGCCAATAACCGGATCGTAAGTCTACGGAGGAAAAATAAGAGGCCGAATGTAAGCAGTCTATTGCGTCCTCTATACGGGGCAGCGGGTATACGTCCTTTTTAGTCACGGCATTCAGTCGGCGATAGTCGACGCAAAATCTCCAAGATCCATCCTTCTTCTTAACAAGGATTACCGGTGCTGCCCACGGACTGGCTGACTCTTGTACTACTCCCTTTTGCATCATTTCCTGCACTTGGTCGTTGATAATTTGTCTTTCTGACGGGGAAACACGATACGGTTTTTGGCGAATCGGACTTGCCGCGCCAGTGTTGATGGTATGGCGCGTTCGAGACAGGGGGATAGGGATTACTTTGCCCTTCTGCGCAAAGTCAAATACCGAAACGTGCTTCAACAGCACATTCATTAAAGTTCGGCGCTCGCTTGAGCTAAGCGACTTATTTATCGTTGCCATAAGCGCCCCGTCTAAATTGTGACAACCAGTTCCGTCACGTTCTTCCGGCACGTCTGTGAGCTCGACCACTGATAAGGTCGCGTGTTCTTTGCTGACCGAAGCTAATTTCAAACCATTGGGTAGGGTCACGGGCTCAGAGGAACAGTTTACAGTCCATAGGCCAGTTCTTCCGCCATCAATCGACACCACACAATGGGGAACCAACACATTCTTCTTCACGCAGTTTATGTGCATTGGTTCTACGCTCGCATCGAAGCTGTCAGAATCAGCGCCGCGACAAACAACAGGAACACGTACGGTAGACAACGCAGGTATGAACGTATCGCCACAGACACACAGCGTAGTTTGGTCATTCGCTGGAGTTTCCAGAAGTTCTGAAGGCATCTGGCCACTCACAAAGACTTTCCCCGTGCGACAGTCTACAGTGGCACCACATTCTCGCAAGAAGTCCATGCCGAGAATGACATCATGTGTCGACCGAGGAATAATCGCAAACTCTGTCGTTATCATAAGGCCTCCCAAAAATACCTCAGCACTACACACACCAATAGGGCGCAATGGCTCTCCACTCACTCCACAGAACGTCGAAGTTTCATCCCAGGTAAAAACAACTTTCCGCCCTAACACATCTTTAAAAGAACCACTCATCACGGAAATAGTTGCACCTGTGTCCACCAACGCCATCACAGGCACATGATCCACCAAAACACGCACTTAGTTTTTAAACATACACACAGGAGGTATTTCTCTTAGTAGCACGTTTCCAGCGACCTCACCCCCATTGGCCGCGCTGGCTAGTTTTCCGGTGGCGAAGAGGGTGCTTTGCGACGCAGCGGTGAAGGAGAACGATGAGCACGAGGTCGCGGTGGGGGCGTTAAACTCCTGTCAGATGCTGGGGAGTAGTTGCGGAAGTTGCTGGGCCAATAGTTGTCATCAGGTGGTATGTGGGCCGGCCGCCAGACACTATGAGGCTGTTCGAAGGGTCGTGAAAAATCGCATGGTTGGTGATACCGAGGAGTCACCCGACGGTTGCAAAATCGCGATATGTGGCCTGGCACACCGCAGGAATAGCACACCGGCCGAGGTCGAAACGTCGGTCGCTCATCGATGAATAGAGCGTCATCATTTGCTCTTGTGTGACGGATGTACTGGTTGGGTGCGTCGTACCGAGACGTCGGGCGTCGAGGA